TAACAAAAATTACTTCACGACCCCAGGAGGGGGCACTGAAGCCTGAACTCGCCCAAGCCTCACCCCCCCTGGGTGTGGGGGCCAAAGCTGAAGCTCAAGGGCTTCAGCCCCATGATTGGGCCTGCAACCTGAGACCTGCCACCCAGGGCTGAAGCCCTCGATCTTTGGCTTCGGCCCTGGGTAGTGGGGCTTGGGCTTCAGCCCTTGGCCCCAGCAAGTCTAAGCCAGCCCTAGCAACTCCATTCAAAGGGGGTCGCAACTCACTTTGGGATCCCAACCCACAGTTTGAGAACCTCTGTCTTAGACTCATTTTTAAATCTAGAACTACAGTGAGGTAAGTGTAACAATAGCCAGCCATACTTCTTTCCTGCCCACAGCTAGCTCCATATTTTTTCTTCAAATGGTCATCATTGTCCTCCATACAACAAATAGCAAGAAACAAATTATTCCAGTTTAGGAAGAAGAAGAAGAAAAAATCTTCCCAAGTTTGCCCACCTTGTCATTCAGTGATGAGATGAAAGGGGACGCACGGCAGTTGCTGCTGTTTGGGACAGGGTGTTGTTTTTGTGTGTGTGTGTGTGTGTGTGTGTGTGTGTGTGTGTGTGTTTGTTTTCTTCTGTTTGTCTGTAATGCCTTGCCTGGGCCTGGTCCATATCTGAGGCTCATAGGACCTACCCCAGTGCAAATAATTAAGAATAGTAATAAGAAATAATGACAAGAGCATATTCTTTTCTTTCCTTAAATTGTAGGTATGCAGGCAGACATATTAAACAGTCAACCCCATGCTTATAGACATTCCTCTGATTGGTTTGGCCTATGGTAAAATATCTAAAATCATTTTATCCCAGATAAAAAGAAAGCCTTTTATCCCCAGGTGCAGTTTTGCATTGAATAAGATGAATGCAGCTTGCAATTCTCACTGATTTTATTCAGATCTCCTAGCTTCTTTAAAAGTGTAAATGTATATATTTATTACATGCATATAATATAACTAGCATGCATTTTTTCCTGTGTATGTTGGAGGATGATCATTTTATACTCTTTTTGAAAAATATTCTACAGTTTAAATAATATAAAAATGAAAGATGTTATATTTGATGAAGAAAATAGTTTCATTACTAGCAGATCAGGCTTTCAAATCAGTATTTCTAATAACAATGAAATCCAGAAGATCAGACATTGAAAACTGTGGGATTTCCCCCCTTCATTTAAAATAATATAATAAAACTATCCTGAAGATATTTTAAGTAGGCTTCTTCTTCAAAAGGCGCTTAATATTTAAATATATCATAACAAGTCATTAATAAACAATCATTTGTGGGGGGTGGGGTTAAACATAGATAGAGTTGCATGTGACAGTCATGTAGTAAAAAAAAATTCTGTTTCTACTGCAGTTTTAGTAAGGTAATAAAGCTAATGCTTAACAACTACAGCATGCAAGATATATAGTGGGTTTACTGTGTCAATTTGTTGTCTTATAATTGCTTTTATGCGGTGTATATGTGTAACACTGTGGTCGCTATGTGTAGTTTGTCCAACCTTTTGCCCGTTACATAGAGGATGTGGATTTGTTATAGCCCTAGCTTCAGGGCCTGGTTCTTTAGCTCTGGTTGTAGAAGCTCATGCTTTCAGCTCTGGAGTTCCCCTATTCAATATCCAGTGTGTTAACCAAGATGGTCGCTATCACACACATGTGTATGTATAAAATTGGCCTCTAAACTCTAAGCTTATGCATAGCAGAAACATGCATTCTGTACTTACTCCTACCGTCTACTGAAAAGGAAAAACAAAACAGAAGAGGGGGCGGGGAAACCCTCTGTTTATGGTTTCAGAACATCCAGAACCAGCTTTAGATGCTTTGTTGCCGTAGGCAAGGAATCCTTTGGTGCTCCTGCCTCCAGGTCTGAGAAGAAAATTTGATACATAGTTATTTACTAGGCCAGCTCCTCAGCTGGTATACATTGATTTCAGTATCTCTACGTTGATTTGCACCAGCTGAGGATCTGGGCCCATTATCTTTAAATTTGTCTGTTAGTTCTATTTCTTTCCATAGCATTATTTCCCTTCCTCTTGTTCATTATGCCCCCCTGACTTACTTTTCTTGTTTTATTTTCTCTTTCTGTCTGCCCCTCATTCTGTCTCTGTCCACACTAGCACTCTGATTTCCTGTCTGCCCATTTGTTACCACCCAAGTCTTTTTCACTTTTCCTTCCTTCCATATCCCCATTGTTACTATTTCTCTCCACTTGTAAGTCCCCCTTCTTGTTCTTATAACTATGCCAGTGACCTTCCCAGTGCAGGGCCTAGACAGGAGGAGCTGCTGCTGCTGCTCTCTGAATGTAGCATCAAGCTTCAGTAGACTATGAATGATGGCTCTGCTGCCTGCTGCATGGGCTGTGAAATTAATAGGCATCAGGGCTAAGAGAGAGTGAGGGAGCAGTAGCAGGTATCCACAGGTGCTGCTGTTGCACACTGTTACAACAAAGAGAAAGCCAGGTGGCAGCAGCAGAACAGGGAGGGGGAGAGTACTCTGGTGTGGGAATTTCTGGTTAGGCTCTTGCTTAGGGCTGTCATTGATTCTTCTTTCTAAAAATGTTTAGAAAAGGCATGTTTAGATTGCAAGCCCTCTGGCAACAATTGTGTCTTGTGTGTCAGTAAGGCACTTAATACATTGTTGGCTCTATATAAATAATATGGAATTAAAACATCTCTTGTACTGGGTGTTTAGCTACTTCTCAGATTGTGTATGGTTACCTCTTAATCTGGTGGGTTCCCCCTTACCATTCGTTAAAGATGGATGTTCTAAAGAAAGGATGAGATTCCTTTCAGAATTCTTGCTTATGCAAAGGCAGTTACACTGATAGTTCTTTAATTGTTGCTCATTTATAATCAATGTTAATAGCTACGTAGCTCTCTAAAGAGTAGACTGTGAAGGTGATCTAATCTCTCAAGGGGACCAAGATTCCTATGTGCAGTAGGGACTTGCATAGGCCAGAACGCTTATATATAACTCATATGTTGGTCCTATCAAAGGAAAGATATCATCAATTTTGTTTATCAAATAATTGTTTCTTAGCTGTGTAAGAGATGACATGTCAGGTAAATATTGGAAGGGAACAACTTCTGGGAAAAAAAACCCCTCAAATACATTGTATGAGTATCTTTCATCTCAGTAATTGTTTGCATATATATTTGGACACTAAGTTTTCATTAAAGATAAATACAATTGTTATATACTATACAGGTGTACCCTGTTTCTTTGTATTTCTTTCTTTCATATCTTGAGGTAACTAGTGAATATCACTTATAAAGATGAAGGGCAAAAAAAGATGATCAAGGATATGAAATGGCTTCCATATGAGGAGAGACTAAAAAAAGATTAGGGCTGTTCATCTTAGAAAATAAATGATTAAAGGTGATGTGATAGAGGTCTGTTAAATCATGAATGGTGTGTAAAAGATGAATAGAGAAGTGTTATATACTTTTTCCCCACAATACAAAAACCAGGGGTCACCCAATGAAATCAATAGGCAGCAAGTTCAAAACAAACAATAAGGATGTTTTTCTTCACACAACGTACAGTTAATCTGTGGAATTTATTGCCAGGGGATGTTGTGAAGGACAAAAGTATAACTGGATTCAAAAAAATAATTAGATAAGTTCATGGAGGATAAGTTCATTAATGGCTATTTGCCAAGATGGTCAGGAACACAACCCCATGCTCTGGTTGTCCCTAAATCTCTGACCACCAGATGCTGAGACTGGACAACAGGGGATGGATCACTTGATAATTGCCCTGTTCTGTACACTTCCCCTGAAACTCTGGAACTGGCCACTGTTGGAGACAGGATACTGGGCTAGATGGACCATTGGTCTGATCCAGTATGGCCATTCTTATGCTCCAGCACCTGGTTCTGATCCATCAGTGCAACTCAAGAGTAACTCCAATGAAGTTAATGGAGTTGCACTAGCAGAAAAGCCAGTGTGACAGCAGAATCAAGCATCTAGGTTCTCAGCTTTCTTCTGTATAGTGCTGCTTATGTTTCAGAGAAATGGGATGTACATAATAATTTTAAAACCTTTATATTACATTTAAAATAACAATATGTGGACCTACTGCAACTCAAATCATATACTGCCTGAACTCTGTACCATTCCCTTTCTGTATGTCAGCTGTTCTTTTAATATGGCTGTGGAAGATAAATTTGTGTTTTCAACAATTTTGTTTATCCTTATAAATAAAAATTGCAGGTATACCTTATTTCTTTATATTCCTTTGTTTCATCCTTGTGGTAACAATAAGTAATCACATTTAATCACCATAACATGGAAAGAAGAAGGAGATTATCTAGTGCAGCAAAATGTTTAGTAAACATGCATTATTTGAGTGGAAGTGCAAAGGGATGTACATTTTTCAGTTTGTCTAGGCTAGCAAATGTTGCAGAGCTGGCCCGGGCATGGAAGGTAACCTTCTTGAAACGTTCAAGGCATGTTTTGATTTTATGGGGGCTGAGAGTCTGCGACAGGGACAAGAGACTGGTAATTGGGAAAGTTGGATTTATTTCTCAGCCCTGCCACTTATTTGCTCTGTAGCCTTGGGCAAGCCTCTTTCCCTCCATCTCCAAAAGGGGTATACTGTAATTCTCTTCTCATAGAAGTGACTAAAATTCATGAAACACATGGAGACCCTAGTATGAAAGACACTGTATAAGTGTAAAAAAATATTGCAGTTTTGGTCAATGTTAATAAATGTATTAATTTAAATTGTCTGCTTCCTCTTGGCTATAGGCTGATGGATCTTGTTGGAATCTATCGGAAGGAATCATTGTGCCAATGAAGCAGAGTGACTGCTGACCACGTTCTCCTTCTCAGCCTGCTGGGAAGTACCACCAGGATTAAACCAGCATTGGAGCCTGGGGATGGGCCTTAGGGACAAGGCCTCCCTTGGTTGTCCTGACGTTGGAATCTGTCTATGGTCAATCAACTGAGGCAGCAACCACACTCATTCTTAGGCTTTTCATTACCTGAAAATATTACGTGTTGCCTTTCACTTCATCTCCCTTTGTCTCCCTGGCTGTGGAAGACAGAGCCCTGCTGATGTTGATATAAACAATGTCAAGGCCAATGGGACTCCTATGGCTGCCTTTGATCTTCACCCCAGTTTGTGTCATGTTGAATTCTAACTTCCTTTTGTGGATAACTGCACTAGCTATAAGATTTACCCTCATTGATGGCCAAGCACAATACCCTGTTGTTACCACGAATTATGGCAAAATACGTGGCCTAAGAACACCTTTGCCCAATGAGATCCTGGGCCCAGTGGAGCAGTACCTGGGAATTCCTTATGCCTCCCCTCCAACTGGGGAGAGGCGATTCCAGCCCCCAGAACCTCCCTCCTCATGGACTGGAGTTCGGAATGCCACGCAGTTTGCTGCCGTCTGCCCACAGTACCTGGATGAGAGGTCACTGCTCAATGACATGCTGCCGGTCTGGTTTACTGCCAATTTGGATACCGTTGTGACATATGTGCAAGATCAAAATGAAGATTGCCTGTATTTGAATATCTATGTGCCCACTGAGGATGGTAAGTACTTTATTCAACCACACACAAACCAACCCACACACTATTTGTGCAAATGATGAGTAGCTTCAATATTGGGTTTATACAATGCTTCATTCTACTTCCTCCATGTTATCTATTTAACTGAAATGTTTCTCTTTATATTCATTAGATGCAAATGTTATATCAATTAAGCATGCTTGCATGAATTCATTTTCATATACGTTTGTGTCACCAAATTGCAGTTTTATTTGCAGGCATTGGCCAGTGTACGAATGGGTCACAATCCCAAAGGTTATGGCAAACAAATAAAAAAATCAGCTAGAGACAATATAATTTTAGCATACAAGTATATAAAGTATACAAATTCTACTACAAAGTATATTTTTTTAAGGAAAACAATTTGTTTATAGAAATTTCCCTTTCTCTTTGGTTTATTATAATGCCTTTTGAAATTACATTTAAATTTGCTTGATTTTAATCAGCAAAGGATTGCTAAAGTTCTGCAACTTGAAGACTCCATGATTGTTTAGCATTTTTTAGTCAAGTTATATATCATTCATTCACTAAATATAAAATGGAGCAATCACTGAGTATATTATGCAAGAACATCCTATGAAAATGCTATTTTTTACCTTCATCTACTCTTGAACAAAAAACTCTGAAATTATTACTCTACACCAGTCATCAGTATAACAATTGGTAACACAATTTTGTGAACCTTCTCATTCTTGCTTTTTAGCATAAGCTGTTTTTGTGAGGCGCACAGAATATTTCTTGAGAAGTGTTGAGTGACATCAAGTCCCCCATTGAAGACAAGGCTTCTTTTGATCAAACACCAACTGACTAATGTTTATTCAATATTACAGGATAATGAATAATTGCAAGAGAACGATAATTAATATTCTGCTGAAAGCCAATTGTTTCATCCACTGCAGTTACTTACTGATGAATAACTGTACAGATTTCCCCCAGATATGCAAATTCTTTTCTCTATATGTGGGGGTTTGATTTGCATAATCGTGGTATTGTTTTTTCTCAGTAAGCGTACTCTGAGCATGCAAATCTTGGTACTCTGGCTACCATAATCCCTCTGCTCTGATTGGCTTCTATACTTAGAATTTTCCAAGCTGTTTGCCAGCAATAAATATATCGCCTTAGTTTCCCACTCACTTCAGCTGAAGCAGAATATTAAAAAATGCATAAGATACTGGGGTGGGGGAATTAGTGAAAAGCAAAAACAGTTGAGTTACTGAAAAGGAAAATGTCTTAAAAGAAAAGGGAGGCGTCTGCAGGGAGGTGAACATTTTTTCTTATTTCCCTCCTTCCTCCAAAACTCTCTCCTTATTCCTAGATGTCCAGATGGGTCTTGGTCTTCAGAATAACTCTCATGTGTTTGTTTATTTTGTGGGTTTGATCCTGCAGCTTTTAATTAGTCAATAGGACAACTCTGTAAGTCAGGGCTGTAAGACAAGGCCTTATTTGTTCATATTGGAAGACCCCCCCAGTCCTTCTGTCCCAGAGTCATTTTAAAGCACAATGTAGGCAAATATATTACTGCAGTTATTCTGGTGAGAGGAATTTTGCTCATGTGAAGGAACCAGGAGGTCAGAAGGGGGGGAAAATGGAGGAAAGATTAGAAGTGCGAAAACAAAGGTCAACAGTGGGCTTGCTTTTTTTTGTTAAGTCAGTTTACCTTTCAGCAGTCTGGCACATCATATTATTGAATTCTTCTCTTTTAAAATTTGAATATTTAATTCAAATGTATTTATAGAAAATAATAATAAAGTTGAGCATGTCCACTATATCATAATCAAACCCTAGACTAATAAACTACTCAGCCTCTGATCTTGCAAGGTTTTTAACCAAGTATATTGTTGTTACCTCATAAAGTGGAAGAACCCCCAAATGTCATTGTGTAGCAGTTTATCATCTGTTAGTTTTTATGCCCATTTAATTCTGTGGAAAAAAATGGGATTTTTATACAAAGATTGGGACTAGACTCCAGTGCAAAGAAGGATGGCTATTAGGAGTCCAAATCTCCCCTCCCCTCCAAAATATGCCACCATATGGGGACAGTGGGTAGGCAGCTTCAGTTACATTTTTGTTGCTAACTGTGAGTTGTATGTGAGCTTATTCATGTGCATGATGACAGGTATTTTCAGTAGGCTTGTGAGGAGAGTCACACATTCCAAAATGAATAAATGCATTTTTAAAAAATCTTTCTACCATTTATCTTAATTATCACTAGTTAAATCTAACTCAATGTTTTTCACTTAGTAAATATGCAACTGACTGCTCATAAACATGATTAAAGTGAACTGACCTATCTTCTAAGCTAGCCTGTTGCCAAATCATACTAAAGGTAAATTGCTTTAAGTTGTAGTCCATAGAATCTGATTAAACACATTACACTTCATTATATGAATCTTAGCTGCCAGAAAAAAAGCTATGTTGTTATGGAGACAGACCATGAAATTAGTTTTTGAAGTAGAGGTCTGAAAATGAATGACTGAGTTAAATTCACATTTTCAATCCTTTCTCAAGTACAGATTTCTTTACAAGTTCCCTGAGACTGTTTTGTGTATGTGTGAAAAGATGGACAGACTCATCTAAACTCAGTTAATGCTCTGAGACTGAAACATATCTGAATCATTTTGTGTCTCTGTTTTTGACAATTTCAATGAAAAGAAACTGCTGTGCTTCTATAATGCATCAACTGTGGTCACGTGTGATGTTGCTTCTCCTTCAAACCCAATACTAGTAGCTAATCAAAATGCAGCTCAGTTTTGCAACTTGGCTACATAGCGTGTGCTGTCATTTACTTCTTGTGTAGATTGATTTAGCAAACCTAGCAATCTCTACTCTGATTATACATTTGGAATGAAGAATTCCAAAGCTTAAGTGGCTGGGTTGTGTTTTGCTCTCATCTACATTAATGTAAATTAGGACTAATCCCACTGAATTCAGTAGAATTACACCAATGTAAATGAATGTGAGTGAGAATAGAATCAGGCCCATGAACTGGGCAGATATTATTATTCATTAATAATAAATTAATTTGAATAACTCTTGCTAAAATGTTTAAGAGACTCAATGAATCAAAATGTATAAAATCTATAGAAGTTAAAAGGTAGGCAGTGTAGCTAGATAAATAATTTAAAAAGCTCAATTACAATTTATTTGTTTTTAACTACAGTGTTTAATTTAAATCTTGCCAAAGAGAATGAATTTACAATTTATTACTAAACACAGGATACTGTTTTTTAATGTTTCTGAAAATAGCAGGCAGAAGAGCAATGGAAAATCCTCTCTAAATTGAAATTGTCTTTCTAGAAACATTCCAAACAGTTTAATTCTTAAAGATGAATTTTTATTCCCCTTCTCCCACAACCAAAAAGAATACACTTTTTCCTCAGGAGAAGAGTAGCCTGTAGGAATCAAATCAAAGAGAAATATCTAGCAGGCTGTTTCTGAAATCTGTCCATGCAGGCATTTTGTGTGTGTGTGGCTCTGTGTTGTGTACTGACTCATTCATAACAATAAATTAGAGACTGCAAGAGTTGCGGAAATTCTCTTGGATTTTGTTGCTCATCATCTGAAGTAAAAGCAAAGAGAGGAAGAGTATCATTACAGTTCTGTATCTTCATGATGGATCTGAACGCTAACAGTGTGGTGATTTTAACAATATTGATCGATGCTAGTTGTAAACATAGATGTCAGTAGTAAAATGCTCTTCTTTCTAATAGTGGTTTCAATGTCAAATCTACTTATGCTATTTAAAATGATTCAATTCAAAATATAGCTATATATTTTGCATTAAAAGTTAACGTTTTATCTCAAATTGCTACCTAGGCAGCAGCTGTAAGTATCTCACTTCAGCTTCTGAATATACAAAAACACATGTATAATATAAACATAGACATATTTGGCTCTTCTCTGATTGCTAGAACCTGTAATTTTCCGCAAGAATACATGAATGACAGTTTGAGGAGGTCAGCTAGGGAAATGATATTGAGGACAGTCTGTTTATTATAACTTCAGTCTGAATATGGGTTTAGCTACAGTGGGAGTGCTAGATTGTAGAGGACACAGACTGTTAATCGGCTGTGCTTAATCCCTAGCCTTTATCATGTGAATCTGTGCATGCTGTAAAGGGGATTGCAGCCTGCTATCGTAACTACTGAAACAAACAAAACAAAACCAACCAACAAGTTTGGTTTCTTGCAAGTGAACCATAAAAACTGCATTATATCATTGCCAGATATAAACATTATTTAAGCAACATCAGCAAATCTTTCATTTTGGTTTAATACTGCTTTCTTCAGACCAAAAAAGGAGAAAAGTCAAATTTTTCTTCTGTGTATGGTCAAAAATACCAGCATACACTCAAAATTATTTGTTGTATGGTGAACAAAGTGAGTTTTCAAAATGTGTTAAACTACTAAACAGCTAAGTGTTTGTCAGGGATTAATTTTAAAAGTACTTAACATCTTTGGGGTGTGAGAATCGTAGAATCAAAAAAATGTAGGGCTGGAAGGGGCTTCAAGAAGTCATCAAGTCCAGCCCCCTGCATTGAGGCAGCACTAAGTAAACCTAAACTATCCCTGACAGATATTTGTCTAACCTGTTCTTAAAAACCTCCAATGATGGGGATTCCACAGCCCCCCTTGGAAGGTTCATTCACTATTGGAGCACCCCCTTGTGGCTGGCTTGGGGGATCAGCTCCGCTCAGTCATGTCATGGTCCCTCTTGCTCTCTAGGAGTTGCAGTTTCCTCTTCATGGCTTGGCTTTGCGGCCAGGTCACTACACTGTGTTCCCCTTCTGAGGTAACAATGTCTTGCCGGACTAGCTATGAGGATGCCATTCCAGGCAGTCTTCTTCCTTATTCCAGACTGTTCCACTTACCCAGTGTCTGATAGGAGGGCTTGGGCCCACCTGCTACTTTGGGTCCCAGCCCAGGGATCCTACAATCAGCAGCCAAGGCCTGCACTGTCTCAACTCTTACTGCTGTTTTCCTGGG